CATACAGCAGATCATAATATATACAGAGCGTTTGGGTCAATGGAAGTGCCTGCTTTCTTGAAATGTGGTAGGGGTTGCTGCTTCACTGTCTTCAGCTGCAGCTGAAATAAAGTAGTGGTGCCCTCTGACAGAAGTCTGAAGGCTGTAATTTTGTGTGGAGGGTCAAAAAAATGGAATGACTCAAACTCTATCAAGCTGTGCATTTGTATGTGCATGGCTTTTTATTGTTCTTTTAATGTTTATACTTCTGTTTGCTTTCTCATTGCATAAATAGCAGCAGGTCAAGTCAGTGAGTGGTTGGAAGAGTAAAAATGTCTGCATGGAGCTAGCTGGGGACCTCACTGCTGAGTTTTGTTTACATATGAGGATACTCCCTCTGGCTCAGAATGGACTGTGATCCACAGAGAGTTGATACTTCCCCTCAGGATTGCCCCGTATGCCTGTGTTATGCCTTAATTTCCACTGGCCATCTCCTCCTGCCTTCCAGTTGCAGACAGGGTAACTGATTAGATGGATCTTTGGTCACAGCCATTCTCCTGCTTTCTCCCTCTTATGAGATGAGAGCAGGGAGAATTCACACAAAGATTTGTAAACTGAGGTTTCTAAACCAAGCTGCTGGAAGGGTGCACAAAATTTGCTTTCAGTGTTGGTTTTGGATGACTTTGTGCAGCTGGGATGCAGCAGGAGCCCAATTCAGAGAAGCACTTCTCAGTCTGCAGCAGCCACCCCAGCTCTCATTGCCCTTATGGAATGCAAATAATTCTGAAAGGATTTTCTCCCTGGAATCCTTGCTATATCAACATTTCAATGTGTATTTATGCTGTGTGTCTCTGTGTCCAAAGACCAGGCGTGGTTCTGCTCCTCTTCTAGTGCCAGTCCTTGTGTTTGTCTTCAGCCTTCTTGTGGACTGGTCAGACAGCTGCTCTTGACTCTCTCTTGTTCCAAGCTGTATTATGCATAAAATGCTGGAAAAGTTTGGAGACCAAAACAGAGGACAATTAGACAAGAACAGAACTTTCATAACAGTCAGTGCTAGTCACCTGGTAATCAAGAATGACAAATCAAGTAGTGCTCTGTCAGTTCAGAGCAGCAGAAAACAAGAGTTTAAATTTGGCATGTGTCCTGTTCCAATGTACAAAAGAAATTTGCATTCAAAATGAAGGGTAGAGTCAGCAGAGACTGATTTTTGGAGACTAGAGAGCAGGAAAAGCTTTGGGAGGTACTCTTTGAAGAACAACCAGAGTACTTGCTGGAGTGGGCAGATGGTATCAAATCCAGGGCAGTAAATGTTGAGTCTGCTACCTGAATGTTTGCAGTGTCATAAAAAAAATATTATTTCTTTTGTAGGTGAGAGCTGTAGAGCTCTGAAATCCTTATACTAATGCCTAAAACATAAACATAGAGTTTTAGGCTTAGCATGCTTTCTTTATCACTACAGATTTTTTCAAAATTTTCAAAGGACTGGCTGAAGCAACTCTACGCTGATCTTAACGTATTTGTTTTTCTAATTGTTTTTTTTTTTTTTTGACTGGGTAGAAAAAAATACATGAATAGAGTAATAGTAATAATAGAATAATGAAAAATGAATGACAATATTTTGCATTGCCACACAAGGTGAAGTGGTACAGTTCAAAGACGTGCATTATCTGAGTGCAATCCCTATGGAAGTCACAAGGGTTGCTTTTAGGTTGGCTTGAAATTTTGCTAGAAGTAAGGTACTTCAGGTCCATTTTCACCAGGCAGCTGACAGCAGCTTTAACAGAAACCAAAAAGTCTTCTCCAAATATCTTCAGCTGGAATGAGAATGGCTTCCCTTTCCTTCTTTCCGTGAGCCCCAGGGATCTGGAAGTCCTAGAAAAGAGCACAGAATAGCTGGAGTATTCTGCAGTCGGGTATAGTTGTAGACATGTAAAAAAGCATCTGTTAGCTGAGAGAGGAAAAAATAAAAAAGGCTAGCACTTCTGTCCTTTTCTCCAAAGTTCATAATTAGAATTCTCTTCCGTGGTCTCATCTTATAAATATTTTAATACATGGTTATCAGTCTGGATTCTCTCTCTCTTTTTTTTTTTTTTTTTCCTGGTCTGACTTGTCTTAGCTTACCACTTACAAAAGTGAAAAAATCCAGCTATGAAGCAGAGCCTAGAGATACTTATCTCACCGAGTATTTTTGTAATTCTGTTGGGCCTGCACTCTTGGTGTTGATTGAATAATAGCATCAGGATGGCTGGGTCTGTGCCCCAGTTTCTGCCTTTCTTCGCTCTGCACCTAATGAATAATATTAAGCTCACAAAGGAGGGCAGATCTAAGGGCCCAGAGGCAGTGAGTTCACTAGCTTAGGGGACTGTAATTGTTGCAGTTCAAAATGCTATCGTATATCTTGCTACTGCTAATTTGAAGTGGTGGATATGCTGTTGGCCAGCAGCAAACTGCTTTGGGTACTGAATAACAGCTCCTTATCTCCAGATTCACAGATGGATTTGTGGATGTCCCACTTCTGATGGTTAGCATTGAATAGCAAGTTTTGTAAATGATTCTTGGCAGGAGTATTCATTACATTTCTATTGAGATTTATCTCCACAGCTGAGTTTTCCTTTCCTTTTTTTTTTTTTCCTCTCTACCATGTAATTAAATGGGTGACCATCCTATGCAGAAGGAAATGCTTCTATTGAAGATGAAAAGAACTGAGAGTGAAGCCAGCTACACACAGCATTAGGTTTTAAGCCAGCTTCACTTTTCAGTGGATATGAGAAAAAATACATAGATGTGACATATTCCTGGTCCGCACATAGTATTTTCATAAAAGACATGAGCATAAATATGTTGCATTCTTATAGCAACCTGTTGGAATGGAGACAGATCCTTTCTCCAAAAGGAAACAAATGTTCCCAGTTCCTAACGTTAGGTAATGAAAGCATATCTGTTGCTCTGCTGACAACAGTAAATATTTCCTGTAGTGTTCTCTGTTGCCATGTTAATGGCCGTACTCCCAAAGCTGACTAGACACTGCATTTTGCAACTGTTCTAAGAGATGCTCTATTGATTGGAGAACCCAGCTATATTTGACAAGTTTATCAAAATGTGTCTGTGAATCCATATTCTCTTGAACTGTTTTGAAAATGTAAATATTTGGAAATAAGCAAAATGACCTGAGTGTCATTTAAGTTATGCTTCTACCCATCGCTGACATGTCCATTTTTTTGCTAAGAGGAAATTGAAAAAGAGATTTTTGACTTGGGAGAATGTTTTCTAAATCCTGGAAGAGTCACTGTGGACTTTCCTGGCTTTATTGGAGGCTGTTTTGGAACTCTGTATTTATGAGTGTGGGGTTTTTTGTTTGCTTGTATTAATTTATTTTTTTTTCCATCCACCTTCCTCCCCCTCTCTTATTATTATTATTATTATTATTATTATTTTTTCATGTGTGTGTTCTGGTGCATAGGGGCAAACTAAGTTAAACAAGTTATTCCAAGATGTGCTGCTAAACGTTGTGGAAAACTTTCAGAATAAAAAAAACAACAAAACAACATGCTGCTCTTCCAGTGACATTTGTAGCTGCATAATTTATCACTGCTTGTCTCATATCTTTCCACAATGGATGAAAAGAAACTTGAAGTTATGTTTTCTGCAAAGTGTTGGTGAACAACATTGGTAACACCTCTTATGATCTTATTTCTATAAAGGTCTTTGATAGCCCATGAAATATTTATTCAAAGGTTAGGGACACTGCCTATAGAAATCAACTTCTGTAAGTAAAAGTGGACCATTAGCTTTTTAATTTCTTTTATTTCTTTATGTATATTTATTATCAATTATGTACACACTACTTCATAGTTAAAATATTTAGTCTGTGCTCATCAGAAAACTGTACTCAGCTGTGAGTCATATGTAATTTGCCAATAGGTGGCATGAGTGCATTGCTAAGTTTTGCAGGTGTAAACTGCAAATAACCGCTTATATTTAACTTTCTGAAGATGCTTCAGAAAGCACTGTCTGTCATGTTGGCAATCACCAGTTCCTGTATACTAACATCTGGCTGAAATCTGCAGCATGAGTACTGCATGTTGTTGATGATGATGAAGTATTTTTCTTATGGAAATAATACAGAACAAATAAATGTAAGTTAATGCATAATAGTTAAACGAAAAAGGAATGACCTGAAATCATTCGAGACTTTGAGTCCTCATAACCACACTGCCACAGGACATTAAAAAAAAAAAAGAAAAAAAGGCAGTAACATTTTCTTATCAATTAAAAAAACATTAATTTGTACTTTTGGAGGTGGGGGGTGGGGAACACCGGGGGGAGCTCAAACCATTTTAATAGAGAAAGGTTCAAAGCCTACTCAATGCAATTGGAACAAAAAATCAAGTCCATTTTTAATTAAGGAGCAGTTTGAGAATTAATCTCTCCTGAGCATAGCATAGGTAAGAGAAATTTATTTAGGGAAGTTTAGAGTTTGTTTGGTTGGTTTTCTTTAGGTTCAGAGCAGGGAAGTGGAGGTGGTGTGGTAATTTATATGGAGCTGTAAATGTTGCAGTCCTACCTCTGTTAGCTTCAGACTTGAATCCAGCCTGAGGGCCTCTCCCAGCCTCATCTAGTGGCTCTGACCAAACCCTACCCTCAAGGTCGAAGCAGTTCACTGTCCCCTTCTGCCCTAAGCATCACCACAACGCTGACCTGAAGCCACTTATTTCATACTGGCTCACTCAGTGCTAGGTTTAGAATGTAGAGTTGAGAATTTACAAATAACATAAGCAGAATGAAATATTGCCTTTTCTTTTACCCTTTTTTTTTACCTTTTTTTTTTTTTTTTTTTTTTTTTCCCAAAAAACTTTCTCAAGCATTTACTGGTTGTGATTTATCCATACTGGTTAACTTTCTAAATATGAATTATGTGTTGAAGAGCAGCTATGAGCCTGCACAAATTCTCATTTGAAATTCTTCACCCTCTATTGTGCACGTGGTCAATTAGGTGATTATAACTATCCGTCTGCCTTTGCAGCCTATGAATCGATTTGTGGTGTAAGAACATGGACAAAGTGTTTGGGGAGTGCCCATACAATGATTTTGATCCTTGCCCACTGCTCCATTTCTTCACCAACACGGTAATTATCCTGCATTTGTTGATTCCAAACATGTGATTAGGAAAGGGACATTTTGTGAGTTAAAACAGGTGTGGGTCATAGCCCATTTTTGTCATACGTGCAAACTGGCAACCTTCAGAATGGCAGCATCCACTCTTCTAAATGTATATATTTACTTTTTCCCATCTTGAAACATTAAAATAGTATTCAACTTTTCATAGCAATTTCATACAATACACCTTAGAACTGTTCAAGTTTTTACTTTAATAGTTTTTTTTGGTTAGTTTTTGTTTTTGTTTTTTAGGCAACAGTGTCAAGATTTATGCTGCTTTGCATGAAAATTTTCCTGTTCGTTCTCTTTACTCAGAGTTGATTCTGCAGTAGAACAGTCCCATCCAAGCCAAGCTGTAGATCTATGTCAGTTATGTAACACCATGAAGCTGGATCTTTTTATAATTAATTGCATTTCCCCATGTCTTTAGGGATGGGCAGAGGAAAGGTGTTGCTTATATGTTTCCATTCCCTCCCTCTCCTTGCTTCCTTCAGCTTACTCAGATCCCAGACTCTAAAGATACCCAAACAATTGGTGTCCATCAGTCTGAAAAAATGAGTTAGGCATATAATATAATAGCTTAACATTTGTCACTGCTCTCTATTGAGTTTATCACACAAAGTGAGTATGATAGGCAGTGTATAAAACACAGTGTCTGAAAATATTCTTTCAACAAAGGCTGAATGCACGAGAGACAAAAGACCAAATAAGTTAGCAGTAACACCCAATGTGTTTTTGACAGCTGTGTGAGTTAGAGTTGGGAGATGTATTTCAAATACCCTAATTCCTAGTCTTTGCTTTTGTGAGAGCAATTTTTTTTGCCCCATTAATCACAGGACAAAGAGCTACCACTTATATTTTCAGCTCTATCTTACTAGGTCTTCTTTGAAATGAGAATGAAATACTGCTTTAAACAGAGATGGTAACAGGTGGTCTGCAGGTACTTTTTGTCCAGATGTTAGCAGTAGAGTAAATGGAACAGAAAACGGTGCCCATAAGGAGTTTAGAAACATCTCCTCAGTACATACAAGATTTCAGTCTCCACATGGTAGAAATAATAGCTCTAAAATAAATATGAATTACCATCATTTGTCTCAGTGGGATGTTGATTTTTGAAGTCGAAGTGCTAAGTTTATCTAAGTTTAAAATGAGAATTTTTTAAGATAGTTTTGAATAGGAAATATCCATGTAGTTCTTAGCAAAAAAAAATAAAATCATTAAAATTATAATAAAAATAAATTTGCTGGAGATCATTATTCTGAGCGTATTATCTGTATTTAGTGTGAAAGACTCACAGCCTTTGCTCTTCTATCCCTAAAAGCTTAGCAGCAAGGGGCAAGGCAGAATTAGATAATTCTTCAAAGCAGTGTTTTCCCTAATGTACCATGCAAAATGAACATTAACGAGACACAGGTTGGTTCAATTAAAATTTTAACACATTGAGGATATAATTTTTTAATTGTTCAGTTTTATCCTTGGAAACTATTTTCTGCTTTTTTTTATTCTTTTTTTTTTTTTTTTTTTTTCCATAAGTTGATTTTTGATAAGTTGATATATGGTTTACACAGCTAGGAGGCTTGAATTAAGAGAGCTCTATAATCCATAGAATCTGATTTATTTATTTATTTATTTTGTTTTGTTTCCCTCAACAAAGAATATTATGTGTCTTGAGCTTAAAAAGTGGTAGCTAAAATGTGTGCTGACATCTCTATAATACTAGCATCTGTTTATGTGGAGCCAAAATGTAATATATTCATTATATGGAAGACTACTTGAATCAGTGGCCTAACTGTGTTCAGCTTCCTCATTTAACCGAAATTCGTTGTTGTGATTTAACCTGGCAGGCATCTAAGAACCATACTACCAGCAGATCATGCTCTCCCTGAGCAACAGCAGCACCCCCTCCATCCCCTCTCCAGCCAACTTCCTGGGTCTATGCAAGGGACCACCTGACTTCAGAAAAGGATTCAGGCCTTGGTGCTATGCTGAAGATTACATGTGGCCTTCTGTGACACGTGGAAAGAAATTGGGGACCTTCTGTTTCCCATCTAGTAAGCACTACGTCTGTAGATCTAGGCATAATGGCAAGCTGGTGTCTTTGAATGATGTCAGTAACCATTTAACCATAGTTTTATTTAATTTTTCTGAACTTTCCATCATCTGTGCTATTCTTCTTAATGTCAATTTAACGTCACCTCACAACATAGAGGACAGAAGTAAAATATTCCTTCTCCTAAAGATACTGAAACTTTGTGCTGAAACAATTTACTGGTACTCTTGCAATTACTTTCCTTTTGTTGTATGTGAGCTTGAGTGAAAAATTGCATCAGGTCCATACCTGCTGCTAGCTGGTGTAGAGTCAGTGACTTCAGCAGCTGAGTTAGGTCTGTTCATACCACTGGAATCACTGGCCCATGGACTGAGCCCATTTATTTAGTGGAAAAATACTGGCGTGAGCCCCATACTGCAGGTTTGGCTTGCAGACAGTCGAGACAATACTAAGACATTTTTAGAAAAATCAATGCCAGGGAGACAAAACTTGACACCCACCATCTTCTACACCAGTCGTGTTCCTCAAAAGGGCCCATATGAGCTGGCGCAGCACCTGCCACTGCTCTGAGCTGCTCAGCATCCCCTGGGAGCTGGTGGGGATGTGCCCGGATGGGAAACAGCTCCCTGCAAGAAAACAGTGGCGTAACATGACCCGGTGCTTTAAAAACAAAGTGAAGCTGGGGTTTTATTTGTCTCTGCTAAGCCTCCTGCTGCAAATTTATAGGCTTTTTAACTTGCTGTGCTACCTGTCAGTCTCTGAACAGATGCACAGCCTTCAGGCTCTTGGCACTTGCCAGCAACTGGCATCCTGCTGGGAACCGTGGGAGGACTTTCAGTATGAAGCAGGGCAACCTAATAATAGCACAGGAATGCATTGAAACCCGTGCTTGCACAAAGGAGGAGAGAAGGGTAACCTGTAGTTTGGCTCTTTTTTTTCAGCCAGCAGAAGGATGTATAACGAAAAACCATAGGCCATTGACTTGAGCACTTGCTTAGCAGCAGGATGGTGAATACCTTGGCCAGAGTAACCAGATGTTTGAATTTCCCCAAAGCTGAAAGAAGCCATAGAAATCTAAAAATAAACTTTTCCAAGTAGATGTGCTTCATAGGCTGTTCAAAATTTACTAGATTTAATTTGCTATATGAGTAAAAACAGAGGGTTATTAAAATATAACTATACAAGACATGCATTTTTATTTTCTTGATATTATAACCGTAAATCTCATAGTTCTTTACCTTAGAGATTCTGAGGGGTTTAGTTCAGTTGCTCTCTCATAAGCCACGTGCAATTTGAGTGAGCGAATGATGTGGGGCTGATGGTACATTTTTTTTCTGATACTTCAGCAGGAGGCCTACCTCTGGTACCACGGGATATGGCAATAAAGATTCACATATTGGCAACCATAAACTGAGTCCTGGTATTCCAAAATGAAAGGCTGGGTATAGTGTAGGAGACGAAATAATTGTTGTTGTTGTTACTGTTCTCACTGTGGCTAGGGGATACAGCTGCTCTAGACTTTCATTTTTGCTATAATTAACTTTTTAGGTTAGATGACTTCAGAGTTGACAACATATGAGAAAAGAGAAATTATTGTTAACACAAGTGTAAGAACTCTTCAGTTGTGGCATTTCAAGGAATAATGGGAATTCTTGATCACCATCTCACCATCTGTCAAGGCAGAATTTCCCTCATCTGGTTATGATAATTTGGGCAACAGTAAAGTCTTCTTTATGTTTATTTCTGTTTCTGGAAAGAAACCCCAAAATATTCAGTTGTAAAGATTATTATTAAGACTTTCAAAGTCATTCCAGCTCTGTCCTACCTCCTAGCACCCTATGCATTGGGAAAGAGCTAAAATAAGTTTATTTTTTCAGAACTGGGGAAAAAAAAAGTCCTGTCTGCTGTGAGAAAGAACATAAATAAGAATGAAAAATGTAGGTTTAGGAAAAGTAACATTGATATAACCCCCAAAATTCCTCTTATGCTTACTGGTTTGCAAGAGGGCCACTTTTGAATGGAGATAGATAGTTTAGGAAAAGAGCACTTATCAAAGCTAAATTTCAAGCCTTTGGAAACTTTGGTCAGGAATTGATTAAGATGTATGGAAAAAATGTTGCTAGCTAAAAGATGTCTATAGTTTTTAGAGTAAAAAACCACGTGCTGACACTGTTGTCACTTAAGTACCAGCACGTGCATGTTTCCATCTTCCCCAGTGGGAGCAAGGTCTTCTGAGAGCCTCAGAAGCTTGGTGTTGCTCTTACAAAGCCTGGTACTTAAAATTCCAGTGACAATATTGTTACTAATGCTACTTCCTGCAGCCTTCTCAGAAAAGAAAATTTTGTTTGCTTAAAAGTATCTATAGAATATAGCGAGGAGTTGGGGCGTGCGGGTAGTCTCTTCAGTATTTTCAAGGCCAATTGATTTTTTAATTAACAGAAGTATGCTTGAAAATATAAAACATTCATTTCTGGAAATTGGTCTGCTTCCAGTTATTGCTGGAATTGTTTGGCAAGTCATATTTTTTAAAGTAGAAAATGAAATTCTCATGCAGAAAGATAAATTGTTTAACTTCCATAAAAGTCTTTTAACTAATTCTTTTTACCTCAGATTTTGTTGTATTTTGTTGTGTTTAGATGTGCAGCATATCTGCTGTTGTGATTAAAGAAGTATAATTAATTTGAAATGCAGTTGCATTATGGTTTTCAATGCTTGCTTCAAATTAACTTATAATTTCCATTAATTTCTTAGGCATTTCTTCTAGATAGCTATTAGTTTTACTCCTGTAATATAATCAAGCACATTCTCAGCAACAGGAATGTGTAAGTGCATACACATTGTTTGAAGTTAAAAAAAAAAATAAAAAAAGTTTTAGTTTACTTGTAAACTAAAAGAATTATGAAAATGTTTTGGTAATTTGAAAATGTTCCTGTATTTTTTCTGGACCTTGCTTTATTTTTACTAGTGTAGAAAAAAATAGTTTAACGTGTGCTACCAAAATTAATGTCAAAACTAATTGACCTTCATAAGCAGATAATTTTATGCTTCTTTGAACATGGTCTGTAGGTTCACCCCATTGATATTACATTCATTACACTTTTTCAGAAATTACTTTTTCTATAAAAACACTTAGAGTGACTTATCAGAATAAAGAGGACAAAAATAGTAGACATAAAAGTTCTAACTTATTTTGTTTGGTTGCAGAGTAGTCACTGAGGTGTGTGAAACAGCTCATATTGCATAGAAGAGATTGGAAGGCTTCTATTTGAAAAGGGTTTTATAAAAAATCAAGTTGCATATAATATGAAGAATGTATTAGTATTGGCTAAGTATCATTAAATTGTGTTAATGCAATTTCATTAATCACTACGTATTAATGTATCAATATTTACTCATAAATGTATTGGTTATTTATCAGTATATCTTTCTCATCCACACTACTTTCCCATCCACTTTAATTTATAGATTCCTGTGAAAATATTTCAGTGGCTGTGTGCTGTTGCTGTTGACTTGTTTTCAGCATGATCCCACAATGGCACTGTAATGAGGCACAAAGCTGTGACTTGCCTTGTCAGAGCCAGGTGATGAAGAAATCTGAGATGTGCCCTACCCTGATCAACACAGTGGTTTCTATGGTACTTGAGGTAGAAATCTGAAAAACAAGGACAGTGATGATACACAAATTAAAAAATAACAACAACAAAAAACAACCAGTATTTTCCATTCGTAAATTGTCAGTAACTGACTGCTACATTCAATAGATAAATTATTCACAATGAAAACAGCAGGTTCTAATCATCTCCAAATTAATGCTTTCCTGGCTTTCTGTGTACTGGCTAACACAAAATAATTGCCTTGGCATATGCCATACTCTTCTATGAATTTTACAAGTACTCGGCTAGTCTGTAATAGTTGTTATCCACAGGATAATACAAATCACCTACCTTCTTCGTAACCAGTGCTTTAAACTGTATGCCACCATAAATTACTTGCACACCAGATAGCTCTCTGTCTCCTTGCATTATTATGAGGGTAACCTATCCTAGGCATGCCTCTCCAATTGCACTGCATCATCCTAAGCAAACTGTTAGCATGGCATTCACAGCTGCTCTCGCTATGTTGCTATAAATGATAGATGAGTACTACATTCTCTGGGTTTGAGTGCAATGCCAGTTCAGTACTTCTGGACTTGTTTACATGTCACTTTGAAAGCTACGGAGATATTGCAGAAGGGGTGGATTGGTTCAAATACAAAGAAATTAAAAAAAAAAAAAAAAGTATTCCCACCAGGAGATTTTGTTCACACTCGATTTGAATCTTTCAATATAGATACCCTTGTATTTTTTTGTTTGTTTGTTTTCTTGTATTCTGTACACATAAAAACAAAATTCCTTTATTATTCTAGACTAATAGGAATGGCAAAAGTAAAAGTTTGAAAGGAAGTAGTTGAATTTCGTTGGTACTCTGACAAATTCTGTGCCAGAGACCAGCAGAGAGCAGATTCCTGGGTATTTAAAACTTCAGCAAGACAAAAAGAGGTCACACAATCTAACTGTGCACACCTTCTCTGCAGGGCTATATTCAGTTTTCGTAATACTTACATATTGTGAAAAACTAATGGGAAAGCATCGTAGTGAATCATCTCAAATTAGAACAACTTTTGTCTGAACATCCTCAAATTTTCTTAAGGAACTCAAATTTGATTCAAAATCTTCAAGTGATTTTTTGTTGTCAGGGAGTATAAGCACACACTGGACCTACAAGACTACCTTTTGCAAAATTAGACATTGAGGTCTGAATTTTCCATTTTAAGCCTGTCTCCTTTTGGGAATGGGTTAGTTGCTACTAACATACACTAACAGATTGCAATGCTATGGTGGCAGTTTCAAGTATAATTTTTCTTTTTGAATAGGAATGTTCGAGCAATTGTACAAGCAATTTGTTATCACTCAAATAAAGAAACTATTTTACAGTGAAAATCCCTGTTGTTTTGATCAAGACAAAATATTAACATTTAAAAATATATAAAATAAATTTCATAAGAGAAGAATATAATAAATTTATTATTTTAGCCATTTATTTGATATATTTTTGGTGAGTTTTTCCTTTTGGCTTTCATGAGAGATTGGCCTTAAGTCCTCCAAATTCTGGTAGGTTCTTATCAGTGAGGAAATCATATATATTACATGTGGATATATCCCTATGCAATAGTATGGGTGCTAGGTCCTCAACACCTCTTTCATTCTTCTGTTGTCCAAACCACTTTTAAGTGCAGACATAACTTGTGGGTGTTTACTGTGCTGAGGGAGAGAATGAACATTTTTCCCGTTCCCAAACTAAACTGAAATCTTAGCATTTTGTATTAAAAAAAATAAATTGAGTGACATATATTTTATAAAGAATGAGGTGCCAAAGCTAGTATCAAAAAATGAGGCATGGAGATCTAGTGATTTGCTTCATTGCTCTGTCACTGTATATCATTCTGAATTTCTTCATTGCTTTTTTGAAATCTATTTTGCCTTGAAATAATATGGGTTTTATGTATAAAATTGTATTTCTGGTGTTGATGTTCATGGGTTCCCAGGCATCAGGAATGCAATGTTCTCCTGAAGTCTGAAATGTATTTTGGGCATATATAGGTAAGGGAAGATTTGGTACAGCATTAAAATTTAAGGGTAGTATGGTCAGAGTTATTAAAATCTTCAAAGTACATGGAAAAGATCCTTATCCTCTTATTAACGTCTTGTAAACAGAGAATAAATCATGGAAAGTGTGCTGTTCTGAGTCTAGTTAGGAGTCTGGTTTAAAAAAAAAAAAAAAGAAAAAAAGCTAATGTTTTAACTATGAAATTGTGAGACATTGAACCATATCAGTACTTTTTTTTTTCTTTATGAAATTGGGTAATGGAGTTTAAGTACAGCATTTTTAATATAATGTATTGCTTTGATTTCATAATTGTTACAATATCTTTTTTCCATTCCTAATTATAATCACTAAATTTAGTTACTCAATCCTCATTTTACTAATTATTTGTGTAGAATCTAAGCACATTTTTTAATGTTACTGTGATCTTTTTGATAATGTGTGGTATTAGAACATTTCCCCAGCCATATCAGGTGTTGTCACGAAACACTAGAGTTTGAAATGAGTCTGTGATGGGAGAACAAAACATTAATGAAACTGTTCTGTTGCCTTGATGTTATTCCTTAGCATTTTTGTTGCAAAGCCAGAATTAAAACTCCAAGCTTTTACATGCTCTGCTAGGAAAATTTCCTTTTATCTGAGCTTTGTGATATCCTCTTAGCCTGTATTTTTAATAATTCTTTCCATGTTATCAAGTACCAAACTTCTGTTGATGTGGAAGCTATGCAAAGTGAACAGCAGAGAGTAGAACACTATTAATCTGTGGTTGTCTTTTAAATTTAATACTTCTCCCCAGATCAGTAGACTGAGATCTGCTAACTATTACCCTGCATGAAAATCATTGCACAAATCTGAGCATAATGAGACCTGGATTTTGGTTTCATGCTACTAGTAATCAGAGCTAAAGTACAAATTATTTTATTATTTATTTATTTTTTCCTTTTCTGAGGTAGCTGAAAAGGTCCATAGCAGGATAAGTATGAAGATTTATAAGTTTTAACAGATCTGCTGGTATGATAGTTCATTGCATACTAAATGAAGCCCATCAAAATTTATTGAGTGATTCCTACATCAATTCTGTATTTTACAGGTGAACCAGAACCTTACAAAGATATCTAATAATAATTTAAAGATTTCTAAGTGAGACAGTCAGTCTACAGCATCCTTCACTATTAGTTACCATTACTATCAAAATTTTATACTTTAGCTCACATTTATCTTGATACAGGTTTTTGTCTGAGTTTTTCCATTACTTTTTGGTTAGCTTTATCCAGTCCAAATTCAGAAATCTTAGCATTCATGGAATATGAACTTGTGTGATTTGTTAGACATAAAATATGGTGCAGATAATTTCTCTTTTTATTGTAGCCAAATTTTTACACCTCCAGAGTAGATGCTGGCAGGGAAGAGATTCTAAGAGCTACTACACTAAGGGCATATTTGGAGTTTGGTCTGAGTTGATTGCTAGTCACATGAAAAAAATATTAATCATCATTATAATCACCACAGGTCTTCAGATTCTGAAGCAAACAGAATGTTATCTGACTGACACAAAGCAGAGCTACGTTTTGACAGAAGTCACCTGCATCTTGTTAATATATTCATGTACACACGTTCAGGCCAGTTCTGTCTCAAATGAATTAAATTCCTGGAGTCCCACTGATGACATGAAGAAGGAAAATGACCTGAAATCACATGTTGAACAGGTAGGAGAATTCATGAGCTGTTTGTAACATAATATGAACTAAGTCGTTGGCAGATTCTGGATCTTCAATAAGAAAGGCAAATGTATTCTGGAGATATGTCACTTCCTCTTTATTTTAATATTATTTTTTAAATCTTACTGTGCTGTTGCCTGAATTTAATCTGTTTCATCACATGCTGAATTTGGTTTACAATTCTGTGGAAGAAAAGGTAGCCCTTATGGGATAGTTCACATATGCAAATTTCCTTGGAAACTGCCTCTTGTTTGGAACTTAAGATTATTTATTTTCTCTAAATTTAAGTAGCAATTTAAGAAGTGATACTAGAAGGAAGCTGTTTTGCTTCATCCAAGGTGACGGTAAAAAGGAGCTCTCCCTCTCTCCACTGGTGGAAGGTGTGAGGAGTGGCAGGAGACAAAGCCAGAGATTCCTGTACCTGGATCAAGAGATCCAGTAGATATTAGAGCAACCAAGGGGACTAGACTGGTCAGTGCCTCAGTGCATTCATGCTTCTTAGTGGCAGTTTTAATTTGCTTTGAAGTGTGTTATTGTGAATATCCAAACTTACAACACAGTCTTCTAAACAACAGTCTTCTAAAGTCAGTTATTTTCAGTCAGCAAAGCTTGCCTCTTTAAAAACAATTGTGGAAATCACTGTTGAGAGGAAGCCAATCAAATCCTCTGCCATGACTGATTGATTTTTCTGATGCCTGGAACCAACCAGAGCTTTCAGGTCTCTTATCAGTGAATAATTCATGTCCTGTGAGTGAAGAACCCAACAAGAGTAAACCAAAATGTGCAAATATCCATCTTTAGACTTTCACAGCTCATCTTTGGATAAGACTGTTATAAAGTCATTTGGAAAAAGAAGCTCATACATAAAAATGAATGTTGCCATGCAACAAGTGCTAAAGAAAGAACCACAAGATTTGAGCCTTAATTAATTTTCCATAGCAGCTGGGAATGTTCAGGAATAAGGAAATTCAGGAGCACCAGTGTTGATTAAACTTCATTTCCTACAAATCTGTGGCTTCTAGTTGAATGACTTTAATTCTGAGGGGATATATCTCCAACAGACACTTTTTCGTGATTGCCACATTTGTTAGTGTATACTCTCCAATGAAACTTCCTTAACATCTAATAAGATCTAATAAGAGTGTAGGTTGCAGTCTCTCTCTATTTAAACAGGTACTATCTATTGCACAAGTACTTATTTTTTTCTAAATTTGTAGGAGTATAGTCATCTCTAAGGTCTTCAGCACCTCTTCTTAATTTGTGTCAGTATCTTGTAATAAGACCTGCAGAAGCAGATGGCCTGAGATCCTGTGAAGTTATTGGGCTCCTCCACGTGGATGAAACTTAAACCAGCATTAGGACTGGTGTCTGTAAGAGGGCATAGTTGGATGCAGATTTCTAAATGCTGATGTCATATTGAAAACAAAACAAAACAAAACAACCACAAAACACCAACCCTATGGTATTTACTATTTAGCTGACAGAATCCTCTGCTTCTGGGATTCATGAGAAATAATCTGCCAGACTGTGATTCATTAGTCAGAAGCTGATATTGTAGAAAAGGAAGAAATTTTGAAAGACACAAATTAAACTTGTCATTTCATCTTTTTGTGATTCAGTTCCAAATAGAGAAAACTGGATGTATCCATCTGGGAGAAAGGAGAGCAAAACAAAGTCTGTTGGTAGAAGTCTCAAATATTATGGTGTGTTAATGATCATAAAAGCATGTAAGTATAAACACGAATACCTTACATTCAACTATACAATCTAAGCTTCTTAAAATCCTACAGCTGGAGCATGCATGACCAGAATGGTCTTACTGTTTCCTCCATGAAATTGGTGCACTGTATGCACAGTGATTTTGGATATTGGTGACATTCAGTAGGAAACATTGCAATTAGATCACACCTGCCTATGGCATGTTATTTTTCTCAGTGAAGGAATTAATTTTTGCCCCACAGAAAACAAATAATTAAGAAGAGCTGATTCCTCTCTGAGCTACTGAAACAATTGTTAATTTTTGAGTGCTTTTCAAATGATCCATGGAATCCATGAACATAAAGGTTAGCAAAGTTATGCTCTATGACTGTGATGCAAAGGGCAGGTTTCTAGTCTAGCAGGTGCTGAAGCAAGTGGAAACATCCCATTTCAGCAGCTGACACAATTATGGATTAGGTAGGATTAGAGAACGTTCTGTTCATTTCTCTTATTTCTCTTTCCTGTCCCACTGCAATTGCTTTTGTCAATTGTTATAAAAACTCATGGGGTTTGAGTGCCTGGTGGAAGTATCTCAGTTTGAATTCAGATGGCAGTGGATAGAGCCTGACTGAGTCACTGTCACTTTTGACCTTCACTACAATGTTAAACCCTGGAAGTAGAGTCTGTATCTTTAAAGGGATTTTTGTTTGCTGTCACCAAACATGATGCTTGCTTGCTGCAAAAGGATAGAAATGGAGCTTCCTTATCTTACGCAACAGGAAACAATATTAGCCCTGATAACACACCCACTTACACTGCTATCTTTTTCAGTATCAAATTTTGTCCATCGTATTTACAGTAACAAAATATATTACAAGCTGCTATGTTGACTGTGACTTGAGAGGAAGTTTGAACAAGAATCGCCGGGGGTAATATTCACTTGGATATGATTCAAAGCACACAGTTCAGAGATTAATAGATAACATAAAATAAAATTACAGATCAATGTGGCAAAGGATCATTCTAATGTACTTGTAATCATTTTCTCATCCATTGGTTGTGCTATCTCCCTTCTATATTGGCAGGGCCGCTTATCTTGTGGTACTGTAGCAACTCTGAACGTTTTATCACTTACTTTAAAAGTGGAATCAATTACAACTCTAGATTAAAATAGTGAATGTACTTCAGGGAGTAAAAAAGATATCTTGTTATGTGTTTTCTGAAATTGCTCATAAGGCCTAGCTGATAAGTCATAACTCAAAACTTAAGGAAATTAATAGGATGATTTTGGAGTAGATCTCATCTTGGGATGGGTGGAGGATGCAGATTCCTTCTTCACTGAGAACCTGTGGCAGCCAAAACTAGTAAGAAAAGGAGGGACTTTTAATACATGTACCGTGTATATCTTTGTGGGAGAGATTGAAATACCTGTGTAATATGAAGACAAGGAATCACAATGATGGAGGGTGCAATTTTTCATCCTCTCCTGGCCTAGATTTGTTCTTGCTGCTTTTTTTTGCAAGCCCCCTCTATTTAACAACAGGAGCTGAAACTATGTTGCCTATGTTTCCTACATTATCTCATTTGAGTTTATGATAATAAAGGAGAGGTTCTTTTCTTCAGGATGAAGTTTTGGAAAATATGAACACAAACTACTTGTCGTTTCCAGAATGGGAGTAAGAACAGAATCGTTACACTAAAAAGAAAACTTAAATCCAATGATTTTTTTGTTGCAGTTCAAAATTTTGGTAAAAGTCTTTGAACCTTGGCACAGGGGTGGAAATTTGACAAAACTTATATTTGTGATTATTAAATTTCAATCAGCTCAAGTCCCTGAAAAATCCATCTAAGGCGCAAACGTCCCAGTGTGATATAGAAGAGGCTCAGCAGAACTTTGCTGTATTTGTGACACCTACCTGCAGGAAGGCCATTTGCTTGTCAGGCTCTGAGGAAGAGCAGCAAAGCCATTTCTTGCATTGAAATTGCTGTCTCTCTTCCTTCTGTTGGTCCCTGGCATCAGGGTAGGGAGTTGTCACACTCAAATACAAAGGAAGGAATGAAGACTGGCATAGAATAAGGCACGAACTGAGAATTGGCATTGGATATAGGGAATAGGGAATATTTGGAATAGGGAATGAGCTGAACAAGGAGATCCAAACTAGAAACTAGTTTGGGTGGGCAAACTAGTGGGATGAGAGAATTGGGAAGAGGAGGGAAAGAGATGAGAAGAGGATCGGCTTGTCCAGATTCTAGTTCTAGTTCTTTAATGTAATATGACAAAAAGTTGTCAATTTTTGAGCTAACTTACTGCTTTGCAAATGTACTAAAACAGTTGTGAAAGCAGTGTTTATTTGGGGTAAAGTATATGAGTTGAGTGCTTTGTTCATGGAGCTGTTTCCTATTTTTGTAGACCTGGCAGTCACTGCTGGCCTGAGCACTTGCCATTGAGTTTTGCTTAACAGTATAGATATAAATTTGGTTGCATTTTTTCTGTTGCATGTTAAGCAATCCCACTTTTCTTTGTGGAGAAATAACACAGCTAAAATATATACTATTTTGGCATTTGACATTGATTTTCCTTTTAGTGTCATGAGTGGACATTTTGGTGGAGCCTGAAAAACCAACAGGATCATATATGGTGCAAGGAAATGAGTTGGCAGACTCTCAAGGTAATTAGGCAGCAATGCAGAGACCAGTTTTTCCTTCTAAAGTGTTGTGTGGTATAGATCTGAGAAAGGGGACTGTTATCTTTGCAATTCATCGAAGAAGTTTTGGCAAATTCATTATTACCAGACATCCATTGGCTGCTGCTCATGCCATAGCAGGTGTAGAGCAGACGATAAGGCTGTATGGGCTACAGGGATTTGGATTCATTCTGTGCTTAGTTTTGCTCTTGCTGCCATTGAAACGAAAGGAAGACAGACAGATCTGTACAAGATGTGGAGTACCATTACTGTTCATGGTTCTCCATGTTGTACCCACTGAGTGGACCTTTGGAGGAGGATCAGGAACCAAATTTCTTTCAGTGGTAGATGAAGAGATACTGTGCACTTGTTAGGATCAAACTTTAGAAGAATGCGTTCTTAATGTCACCTCTATTAAAACACTCAGTTACTAGTTTTCCTGTTTTATTATATGAGCTTTCATTACTGTGACATCAATGCATATCAGTTCAGGATTACATAGCATTTGTCCTGTATCTAGCCACATCCTGATTTCTATCTTGTGGTTCAACTGGCTGCTAGTGTTTTTGACATCTGAATGCCATTGGGTTGCAGGATCTCATATCCTACAACCTTGTTCAGCTCAGTTCTGACTTCAAAATGTACAGATAAAATAGAGAATCTGTCTTATAACAGTTGAGTAGATGGAGTGTTTGAGTTTACAGAGTTATTCTAACTGGACTGTCTTGTTGGTAAGTCTTGACATTTAGGTTTGATATGTGGCAATCGAATGAGCTTTTAGTACACTGCTAGGATTGTATCCATTAGGCTTCTTTTCAGTAAAAAATCTTGCTGCTGTTTGTTGTGACATTTGAAATCTTGAGTCAAATGGCATTTTCGGAACTTTTGTACTCTATTACAACTCTGGTGGAGAAAATAAGTTGGCACTAGCCATGACATTTTATGGGAATACACATCCAAACTCTGTCTGAGCTTCGATGTGAGTCTTTATTACAAACAAAGAGGACTTGTACCAGTATTTTTGCCTACCATTACTTTCAATTATTACGATTTCTTAAACAATTCATTTTTGTTTCTGAAGGTTTGGGAAAATACATTCAGGAAAATTAAGTTCCAGAGGATTTTAAAACTGCCTATGACACTCTTAAGATCATTAAAGAATGAAGTTAATGTTCTTGGTAATAATAAGAGCATTGTAATGTTTCAAGCTCCGTGTGTTAAGAACATCTGAGACCGTCTTGGTGCTGTGCTATATTCTAGGAGGAGCATAAATGAGCAGGTGAAGACTGGAAAGTGTTTGGGTTTATATGATGTGTGTACAGCTCCAGACTTGAATTGGGACTGCAGGTAGTGTCACAGAGGTGGTTCCAGACCTAAAGAGTTTTCTCTTGTCTGTGATCTGCTGAGCAGAGCTGGGATGGCAGCTGAGCTGTAAGTTTAGTAAGCACAGTACGTATAGGAATGCCTGGGTGGCATCACATGTGCATAGGCCCTTTTTCCCATTTATGCAGTAGGAGCTGGACTTGAATGTGTATTTTGTCAGGGAGGTCACTAAATGGGCATTGTATGGTGAATTAATTCAGGGAAATCCTGTGGCTGTGCTGGAGGTCAGGCTAGCTGATCACAGTCATTGCTTTTGCCCTGTAATCTGTAATGGATGATGTCCCTGAGAGTATCAACAAGAGATAAATGTGAATAACCCTAATGTACAAGGTCTTTCTATTTTGCCTCAAAACAATCGAACTCATTCAATTCAGAGAACGTCTGAATAATTTTGAAGAGTGCAAAGTCTGTTGCATATGACTGAGCTACTGCTCTTTTTGTATTTCCCATAAAATGAATAAACTATACCCATGAGTTTCATTTAACGTTATAATTTCCTTCTTCCCCAAAAAGATTTTATAAGTAGCTTAATAGAAAAACACTGTCAAATTAGGTTTTTTCCTTAAATGTTTTTGGACTGAAGCCTCTGTCTCAAAGGGAGGGTTTTATAACCCAATAATCTCACTTTATATATAACCCAATAATCTCACTTTAGTCCAATGTTTAATTAATTTTTATTTCATTTCCTCAGTTTTGGGAATCTAAAGTGTTTTGTAGGAAGAAATAGAAAAAGGGAGCATTGTGAATTCTTTTTTTTTTTTTTTTTTGTTGAAGTCATAAAACAAGCCTCAAAGGAGAGCACTGCCTTTGTTCCAAACAAAATCTTTTTGTTCAAGTTTCTTTGATGAAAAAAAACTATTCAGCTTGCTTGTGGGTTTGTTCTGATAGCTGGCTACTCTAAATGCTTTTCAGGACTAGTGGACCTCATAGGACAAGTTGGTACAGAGTCAGTGCGCTTAGGCTG